GAAATACTTCTTCCCAAGTGACTCAGCCCCCAGAACCTCCCCTTATACCCAGCACCACACACTAGAACCCGACAATTTGACAAAATGGAGAAAATGAAAACTTGGGGACTAGAAGAAAAAACTCAAAGCTCAAGACACCATTTTCATGGTCACGAAAATAGGAATTGTGAACTCAAATAATTAAGACTTGAAGTCAAAAATTCTAGTTGGATATCACTACAACTCCTATCAAGAAGCTTTAGAAAATGGATTTAAGGTGGGGGGGGCGGTTCTTAAGACAACTCCAATGTGGTCAAATCACAAACACAACTTCTATTTGGCAGAATGTGGTTCCTTTTAAAGTAAAATTGAAGTTTAAGTTTTGCAATAGTTATTTGAGGTAGCCCATCCCACACCCTTGGCTAATCCAGCCAAAGTGCCTTGAAAGTACCTTCATAAATTTCCTGAGGAAAAGTCAGAAGCAGCTCAGGGCTAAACACAGATGACTTATTCCATCCTACCCCAGTTTCGTTCGTTAAAATCAAAAGTTTTGCCTGCCTTACATAAGCGAGGTTCTCTGCTGCCATAAACTGATAAAGGGAACACTCTTAACAGCCTTCTTAACCTTTAAGAGAAACCGAACTATTCTAAATCAATTAGACCATCTGTTATTGATCAATTACAGTTATTAACAGCTATTACTACAAGTATTTCTCTCCAAGTTGCATCATCTGGACGCCAAACCCCAAGTCTGCCTTACTTCCCATGTGCTACAACTTTAAAAATAGCCTCCATTTCCATATGCTATCAAGGAAGGTCTCTTCCCCTCTCTGTACTTGGAATTAGAATTTTTCACTCTTCACAACATGTAGTCACGCTCCAAAAGATATAAAAGCACAAGGAGGTCTGAGAGTGTTTTGAGGCCTAAAAACCCAAAAAAGTTTAGGCATTTGCTATTTCAACTAACTGGTTAACATTGGAATAAAATTTAATTTGCTTGAAGAGCATTGTGGAACCCTTAGAGCTCAAAATTCCATTCTTTTACCCAAAGTGGCCTAAATAATGTATCTGGGATTCATTTGTGTACCACATAAGAAACAAAAGTTTTTGCAAATCCTGCTTCAATTTAAAATAAAAATGTTTCCGATGTGTTTGATTTGCCAGTGAACTCTAAAAGTCTGCAAGGTAATGTTAAGATCACTTTGATTTTGCACATATTATGCCCCAAACCGAACGAAACTATTTAAAAACGATTTTCCTGTTAAAATATCACAAAGACATTCATTAAAGTTAATTCTTTTAAATAAATATAAAGACCCAAATATTCCTCTACTACACAGGCCAAGGCTTCCAAAGCAGCTCCATATACCACTCAATAGTTTTCAAAAGCTGAAAGGCTCCAGAGGAAGAAAAAAAAAAAAAAGACCATAATCAATACACAAAATTAATGCTTAGCATAAATCAAACACTAGAGCTGTAGGGTTTTTTTAATTTTTTAAAATGTTTTATTTATTTCTGAGAGAGAGAGAGAGAGACAGCGTGAGCAGGGAAGGGTCAGAGAGAGAGGGAGGCACAGACTGAAACAGGCTCCAGTCTCTGAGCTGGCTGTCAGCACAGAGCCCGACGTGGGGCTCGAACCCACAAACCGTGAGATCATAACCTGAGCTGAAGTCAGACGCTCAATTGACTGAACCACCCAGGTGCCCCAAGAGTTGTGTTTTAATACAAATTTCTGAATATCAGCATTGAGATTTAACAACAGAAAGTGTAAGTACCCAACATAATTTAGAATAAGTAGGTAGCTGAATGGAGAATCAAGATGTTAAAATAAAGTTGAAATTGCAGGGCGTCTGGGTGGCTCAGTCAGTCAAGTGGTTGGACTCTTGATTTCAGCTCAGGTCACAATCTCATGGTTAGGAGTTCAAGCCCAGCTATTAGTGCAGAGCCTGCTTGGAATTCTCTCTCTCTCTCTCTCTCTCTCTCTCACTCACTCACTCTCACTCTCTCTCTCAAAATAAACATTTAAAACATTTTTTAAGTTGAAATCTCATTTTATATGACGAAACTGAGACCCAAAAAGGTGACATAATTTGTTCCATATCATGCAGTTTAAGATAGACTTGAACAAAATCAAGTTTTTTTTTTTTTAAGTAGGCCTCATCTCTAGTGCAGAGCCCAATGTGGGGCTTGAACTCACGACCCTGAAATCAAGACCTGAGCTGACACTCAACCCACTGAGCCATCCAGGTGCCCCTCAAGTCTCTTAATTCTAAATCCAGTGCTCTCATCATCAAATACAATTGTGGGCCCCAAAGTTCTAAATGCTCTTTTATAACTCCAGTGTCATCAGATGTCACCTTGAATTATGCTGTGTGACATTACTGACTGGTTAGAATATCCCTCATTTTTAAAAATATTTCTTTCAAATATCAGGGGTAGAAATAAACTCTGAAACCTGGAACAAAAGTATGTAACTTTTGAAAGATGGCTATCCAACATGCCAGATGTGAAAGGATTTCAAACTGCCCCTGACAGCCTTAAAGATGAGGCCAAAACCTACCCTATCTTCAATGAAACATCTGGTTCCAACGTTACAACATAAATTAACTTTCAACAGACAACTGGCACGTGGGTCACATGGGCCTACAATGACCACTCAAATTGCCATCCTGTTGCCGGGACGACACATTCACAGATCATCTCAGACCATCAATCACATCATCAGGGGTGAAGGGAAAAGGTGCTTTCGAAATGACACCCTTTACCAGATCCTTCAATATCAAATGCCATCCAAAACTCTTCAAAGCATTTCTACATCTTTGGCATCTAAATTTCTGAATCCAAAAATAATTTGGGAAGACAAACCAAGCCCTCCCTTTCACACAGGAAAGGCCCAGACCGGCCAATTAGGCTTGATTAATATATATATTACACCTGACACAAATATTTTCATTAGAACCTGTTCCTTCTGAAACATGAATCAACGTTTCTATCCAAACTCATGAAATCAGTTACTTCTGCTTCTAACAAGAAAAATGAAACCAATCTGATGTCAATTACAGTTTACACTGTAAATGAGAATCAAATTAAAGTTGTCAGTAATTAACGTTTTATAAGCATCAGGAAGACAAAAGCAGGGCTTTCATGTAACCATAAAAATAACAAAGTTATACATTGTATCTCCATAGTGAGAAGTGTTTCCTACCAGTCCTGGAATAAAGGATGATGTTTCTCCAAAAGCAAAGATCCCTGGAATAGATGGCTGTTACTTCACAAAACCAGGGTCTGAATCTGGGTCCAAATCATCTGATCTGAACATACTATCTCATCATAACCTAACCTGACATCTTTATACAAAAAAAAATTATAACGCTTTTCTTGAAAAAAATCATGCATCAACTATGTACTTTCAAAAGAAACTTTGGTTTTTAAACAGTCACCCATTGCCGTTTTCATGGATTTTACCGACGAATTACAGTTATGCATCTGCGATAAAGTGTCCAAAATGCTCACTGTGTCTGCGAAAGGATCTGACCAGACTCTGACTTTGGAGTCCTCACCACACTGGCCACTGAACACAAAAATCCAGGGGAAAGCCCCGGTCAAGAATTAGCCTGAACTTTTTATTTCCTTTCCAGAGCTGGAAATATTCGAGTTTGGAAAGTCTCGCAGCAGGACCGCATCTGCAGCCCCGGAATCCGGCCTCAGGTGTGAATTTCAGCTGGGAGGGAGGCCGCAGCGCCGTAGGCACTGAGGAGACCGAGAAGGGGCAGGTGAGGGCGCAAACTGGCCCAGGATCTCCGGGGCCAGCTAGCGAGGGGCGTCTCCCGCAGACACTTCGCGGCCACACTCCTCCAAACCCGCGCGTCGCCGGCCCGCAGAGCTTCGCGCTCACCCTTGAAGGTGGCACTACAGAGCCTCCGAGGAGACACGGGCATTTCACGCGAGTGAATCAAGGAGCTTGCGTTAGTGCAGCTGCCAGAGCCTCCAGAGGGGGCGGGGGGGGGGTCCCTCAGAGCCTCAGCAGGGCTCCAGGATGCTGGGGCTGGGGGAGGGGGGGTCGGCGACGGCAAAGTGCAATGCAGAAAAGGAAAGAACTGAAGAAGCGCGGTCAGAAGTAGATAATGGCCTGGCCTGAAGGAGAAAGGAAGTGGAGCAGACTGAAGAGGTCTGGACCAGCGGGGAAGTGAGGAGAACAGGACCGGGAGAAGCCACAAGATAGGATTGAGGAATTCGAGGCTGAAGGAAAGGGTGGAGGCAGCGAGACAGAGGCAAGGGGGCGGGGCCGGGAGATAAGCAAAGGCGGGACTAGGTAGAAAATGAGGGGCGGGGCTTAGGGGGAAAGTGAGGGAGCCGGGCCAAGGGAGAATAAAGGGGCGGGGCCGGGAGGGGAGAAGCCAGGGAGCAGGTAGGGGGGTGGTAGAGAGAGGAAGGTACAGAGTATGGGGGAGGGGTGAGAGGCGGGGGCAAGAGGGAGAAGCGAGGGGGCACGTCGGAGGGCAGACAGGGGAGCGGGAGAGGATGGGAAGGTGGTGAGAAGCGAGGGGCGGGACCGAGAGCAAGGGGCGGGGCCAGAAGGGAAAAGCGAGGAGGCAGGTGAGGGAAAAGGGAAGAAAGCAAGGGGTAGGAAAGGGGGGGAAGGAGAGGGGGCGGGGCCACGAGGGGAGAGTCGAGGGGACAAGGCGGGGAAGCTGGAGGGGGGCGATCGAGGTGGAGGGGTGAAAGCAGGAGGGGAGAAACGAAGGGGCAGGTGGGGGAAGAAGGAGGAAAGCGAGAGGGCCGCGCCGGGGGGAATCGGGGAGAGAAGCGAGGGGGCGGGGCCGGGAGCAGCGAGGGGGCGGGGCCGGGAGCGAGGAGCGAGGGGCACTCGCCGAGGGGGGTGACGAGGTCCTGGGACAACGGCCGGCGTGGGGGAGGGCCACTCCACCGGGGCGCTCTGCGGGAAATTCCGGGGCTGCTGGGGGGGCTCTGTGGGGCGCCAGGGGGCGCCGGGGGGGTGGGGGGCCTCCCACCGGCCGTACCTGTCAGACGGATCTTGATGCTGGAGCCGTTCCTGCGCGTCCCGGGGTTCGACATCTCCCGCCAACGATCGGGCAGCCGCGGATCCAGCGCCGCCGCCCCCCGGCCCGGCCCGGCCCGGCCCCGCCGCCGCCGCCTCAAGGTTACGGCTCCGGGCTGGGCGCCGGGGTCCGAGCCGGGACACAAACTCCGCGGCCCAGGCGTCTGGGCGGCGGAAGGATGGTCGAGCCGGGAGATCCGCGCTCGACCCGGCGCTCCCGACCCTCGCTCGCTCCCAGCAGAGCCCAGTCCGGAGCCGCCGCCGCCGCCGCCGCCGCCGCCGCCGCCACCACCACCTCCTCCTCAGAGCCGGACGCCCGCCGCCCTCGCCGCTTCCGCCGCCGCCGCCGCCTCCCGGAGCCGCGCGCGCTCCCGCCGCCGTGCCGGCCCGGCCCTGCGCGCCCCCGCGCCGTGCGCCCCCGCGCCTGCGTGCGTGCGCGTGCCCGCGGACACGTCGGGGCGGGGCGCGCCGCGGTGCTACGTCGCCGGCCCAGCCTTGGGCGCGCGGGGTCTGGGACCCGTGGCCCTAGCTTCCCGCGTCCTCCCGCTGGGAGACGGGCGGAGGAGATCCGGCCTTGGGAGTGCAGCGCGCCCTGGAGGCCCGCGTAAGGGGAACCGTGGCCCTCAGTCTTTACCACATTCTCCGAGGGAACGGGTTAGCAGATGGAATTGATTTTCCAGGTCTGTCTCAAGCCTCCGGGCCCCCAATGGCTATTGAAAAGAGGATTACGTGAATCCGTGGGCTGTCACTACACCAAGCACCTTGCACAAATAGTCATGCGACACTTTTTTTTTTTGAGCAGAGAGCTTTTAGATAATGCAGTTTCAATGGAGAGATTTCTCAAAGACACGAAGTCCCCTAGGCATGTTTTGTGCAACTAGTGTGCTCTATCGACCCGTGACAAAGTCGCCAGAATCACAGGAAGTGCCATATATGGACACGGTAAACAAGATGGGAGAGAGGGATAAAGTTGAGAGGTAGATGTTTGTGATTATCCAATCTGCATACAATTCAGCCCAACAAAAAGGCATCTTTAGAGCCTGCCTTCTGCAAACACTTCCTTCCCCGTACCAGACTCGCACAGTAGAACTAAAAGCCAACATTTCCCCTCCTCCCGAGCGGCAGGGTAGGGCAGGGTAGAACTAAATCTCGTTAGGCTTTCTCCAGCAAACAGACTCCTCTCTTTGTGAACCTGTAATGGAGAGGAAATACTGTGTTAATAGAGAGGAAAAGCTGGGCGTGTTTACCAAACTTGTTTTTGATCAACTACTTAATTCTTTGAAAGCCTTTATTTGGTTTGTGTCTTAAGGAAACCAGGCTCTGAGCCATTGCAGCCAGGGACCTTTCCTGGGGTCACAGTCTTCAGACCAGAGCCCTCCTTCTAGTGCCCCTTGACATGCCCCTCTGGCTCACAGGCTGAGCCCAGTAAGAGGCGAGTGCCTCCCCGGCTGAATTCAAAGCTGCCTCTTGAGCCTCAGTCAGTCAAATAAAAAGACAGACCTAGATCATTTCTATGGCCCCCTTGCAGCTCAAACGTTCAATAATTCTAGTGAAATATCCAAGAATACAAGCTGTGTTTAAGCAACAGAGCAGTAGTCCCAGAATGTCACTACGAGTCAGTCCCTGGAGTCTGAATAAATCCTTTTAGAGTCTCTAAGCCTAACCCCCATTCCTCTTTCAGTCCACCCCAGTATCTCTCCCTTCTCTTCATTCCCATATTAAAGAAGTCCATTCTCCTCAACCAAACTAAACCTCTCTCTCTCTCTGCTTACCTGAGTGGTGGCCTCTGTTCTGATCCCCAGCTATTCCTGACCTAATATCCTTCCATTTCTTAACCTTCCTTGTTTTCTTACCTGCCTAGATGGTTGGACCTTCCTTTTCCTGATCGTTTCCTCAACACCTGAGTCAGGAGGTCACTTCTGGAGGTTACTGAAAGGCATTTCATTTACTCATTAACAAGTAAGGGCCATTGTCATTTAACCAGATACACCTAATGGTGTCTTTCAACACAGCCTGCACTAGGAAGACTTCCCTAACTGGAAGCTAATGTATTATTCATCAGCAAACACCAGCCACCTACTATGTGGCTAGGGACAAGGAATACAAAATAAATAAGTCACGGCTGTAGCATTTCAGAGGCTCAGTGGACTGGATGAAACAGACAGGAGCAGAAGACCAGGACACAGTGACAGAGCTGTGTACTGAGGGCTAGAACGTAGATTACAGGACCATTCTGCCTCGGAGGAGATGGGAAGATCACAGAAGAGCCCCAGAATACCTCGATCTAGGACTTAAACACAGTGTTCAAGTTCGTCAGGCAAGGACTTTGTAGACAGAGGGAAGAGCTGACCCAGAGGCATGAAAATAAATGTATTTTCCAGCAGTTTTCGGCGCAAGAACAGTAATGCAGCTGCCAGATCCTCTATCCTCACACCTGATCCTATTAAAAGTTGATATTATAAAGCTGATAAAAGCTATTGGCCCCCATAAAATTCAACAGCCACAATTTTGGGCTAGGCCTGTGGGCCAGTTGTTATACTGAACTTCAGGTACTTTGATTTCCTTTCATCGTGTATCAAATTTGTCAAAAATACTATCTTCTATAGACATATGGAACAAGTAGATGGGAAATGCTTAACAATTCAGCTGAGACAGAGATGAAATTTAGTGAGTGTCTTAAAGTATCCTCTTTGCAATGACTTTACAAAAGAGTGGTTTTGACCCTGCTTTCTGTGCAGGATTTGGCAGCTTATTTTATTTCTCCCAAATGTATCACTCACGCTTGTCAGTGTTATTGGGCATTTGAAACACTTTCCAGTGGGGGAGGAAAAAATAAATCTCACTTTGGATCTAACTGCAGTAGTTCTTAACCTGTTTTTGGAGTCCCAAACCACTTCAGGGAATCTGGTAGAAATAATGGATCCTTTCCGCCAAATTCACGTGTGCAACTCTGCACCAAATTTTACATCCAGTTTCAATGGGCTCATGATCTCCTGAAACCAATCTGTGGATCTGTAAGGTCCCACAGCCCCTAGATTAAGAACTTCTAATCTAAAGGAAATAACCAAGCAGATCACACTGGGAATACCCCATATGTGGGTGTTGAGGAGCCAGTATATTGGTAGCCCCTTGTGAAGGCAGCAGGTATGCATGCTAAAAAGTTTTCATTTCTCTGGAATAAGTGCACTAGAGCTGTGGCCCACACACACCCACACCCTATTCTGGCTCCACCGCATTACAAATTGGTGCCAGAGCAAGATAATTAAATTTGCCAAGCCTCAATTTGCTCATCTGTACAATGGAGATAAAAATACCTCTCACACACAGTTATTGTGAGGTTTAAATTAGATGTAGATTGAACAGGCTATTAGAACAGGCACTCAGTTCTGATTAGTGCAGGTAAAAATGCATATACTAATCTTTCCCCCAAACCTACTAATGCTATTACCCTAGGGAAATTGGGGGTATTGTGCAGAGGATCCCTGGTGGCTATACCAAATATCTCTTGAGAGTACACTACTGTACCTGAGCTGGTGCCTCTGTGGCCGGTGGCCAGATCAGACCAGCCTTTAAGGTCTTTTCTTTTTCTTCTTTTTAATTTTTTTTAACATTTATTTATTTCTGAAAGAGAGAGACAGAGCACAAGTGGGGGAGGGGCAGAGAGAGAGGGAGGGGGAGACACAATCCAAAGCAGGCTCCAGACTCTTGAGTTGTCAGCACAGAGCCTAATGTAGGGCTCAAACCCATGAACCATGAGATCACAACCTGAGTTAAAGTCAGATGTTTAACCGACTGAGCCACCGAGGCGCGCCTAAGTTCTTTTCGATATCTAGGATCTAGGCCTCTCTTTTGCTTTTCATCCAAACATCAAGTTTTTAAAACAATCAGATCTACAAAACTTATGATTAATTAGCACATTTATTTAGTCCTTTATGCCCAGAAGCCTTTGGGATTTTCCTCTAAATTACACCTAAACTTAATATAACCAATATGCAGGGTAATATCATTGGCAAGGTTTATTATCATTGATAGGGTATTTTTTAAAATAAAACTGTTAAAACAATGTTTGAGATCACTGTAGATTCACATGCAGTTGTAAGAAATAATAGAGATCTTGTGTACTGTGCCCAGTTTCCCCAATTGTAACACTTTACAAAACTGTAGTATAATATCACAACCAGGATACTGACATTGATACAATCCAATGATATTCAGATTTTCCCAGCTTTACTTGGACTGGTGTGTGTGTGTGTGTGTGTGTGTTAAGTTCCATACGTCTTTTACACCTGTGTAGGTTCAAGTATCCACCACCACAGTCAAAATACTGAACAGTTCCAAAACCCTCCCATCCTCATGTTGTCAATTTCTAAAATGTTGTCAATTCAAAACATTTACATAAATGGAATCATATATAATGTAGACTTTTCGAATGGCTTTTTCCTCACTCAGCGTAATACTGGGAGACTCATCCAAGTTGTTACACGTTTCAGTAGTTTGTTCCTTTTTATTACTGAGTAGTATTCCATGGTTTGAACGTATTACCTTCTGTTTAACCATTCACTCATAGGAGAACATGGGGGCTAACTCCAGTTTTGGTTATTACAAATAAACTATGTCCAGGCATTTATGTGAACATAAGTTTTAATTTCTCCAGAATCCGTGCCCTAGAGTACAAATGCTGTGTCATATGGAAATTACAAGGTTAGTGCTTTAAGAAACTGCCAAATTTTTTTCAAGTGGCTGTAGCATTTTACTTTTCTACAAGCAATGCTTCTCAGCATCTTTGCCAGCATTTGATATTGTCACTATTATTCCTTTTAGCCATCCTGGTAGGTGTGTAGTTTTGCTTTATGGCTGTGGAATTATTTGAGATTTAGACTATTTCTTCAAATATATGCAGCCAAGTAATTAGGGACTATTTTAGAAAAACATAATTCTAAAGTCTTTCTTTAAAAATCCTAGTTGAACCCCACAGTCTATGTTCAGAAACAGCTGAGGTCAAAGTGAAAATGAGAAAATGATTGAACTGCTATTTTACATTTTAAAATGTAGTTTATGGGGCGCCTGGGTGGCTCAGTTGATTAAACATCCGACTTCGGCTCAGGTCATGATCCTGTAGTTTGTGAGTTTCAGCTCTGCGTAGGGCTCTGTGCTGAGAGCTAGGAGCCTATAGCCTGCTTTGGATTCTGTTCTCCCTCTCTCTCTGCCCCTCCCCACTCATGCTCGCTCACTCTCTCTCTCTCTCTCTCTCTCTCTCTCTCCTCTCTCTCTCTCTCAAAAATAAATAAAACATTTG